AAAAGCAAACAATGAGGACCTTGTTTCAGAAATACCCCTTCAAGGACCTCAGCTTCTGCAGAAAAAGCAGTAATTGCAACCTACGATTCCTTCTCAATTGAGCCAAGATCTATTTAGCTTTAAATCTACCTTTCACAGTGTCTTCTATTAGCCATCATAGCATTGAGAAGTAATAATTGGTTCTGCTTCGGTTGACGAGTTGACGGTTGAGAGACGATAGCCACTCTGTCACTAAAATAACCATACGAAAGCAGACAAACCTGCGCGCGTCAGCTAGTCTCTATGCAAAGGTCGCAATGATATGCAGTTTAGCAACTTTTTGGTGAAATCTTTTTGCCGTTATGCAAACATGAAAGAAATATATTAAAATTTAGGATAGGCCTATTGAAATGTATCTAGGTCTGTGGCTCAGAGTAATGTCTTTAAATTAATAATCATGAGAGTTTATTAACATACTGGCCCATTAGGGAAACGAAAATGAACACAAGTGATTCCTCTTATGAAAACAAATGACGATCGTGAATTGTAATAAACAAGATCATTACAGCACTCAATATGTGAAAAGTATAATTAAGAAATACTCTACCTCATTAATAACTTAAATATATATAAATATATCTATATAAATAGGTAAAAACAAAATGTTTTAGTATTGTTTCTCTTCGATTTGTTAACCGATTTTCTCTTCTATTTTTTCATAGCTCTAAGTATTGACAACTTTTGATGTTTTCAATAAATAAAAAAGTGATATTAGATAGTGTTTTTCTCCATCTTCATAAATAGAAGTGAAACTATCCAACACAAAATGAATCTAAATGCTAAGATGTCAATGAATGTTGTCGTATTTAAAATAGTTGGCGCAGATATTTCAAAGCCCATTAGTTTGTGGTACGCACAACGTCAAGTCATATCTTTAGCTAAAGCATCACGCAAATTCTAGATTTCATAGACCTAGGTCAGTACGAAAGGAGGTGACGTCATGCAGTCTAGATGTAATTTAGTTTTAGCGTTGGAATTACAAGCCAATTTAATCTACAACATGGACAAGATGTCCGTGGGATCAGCAAATTCTGACGCCACTTACGTCAGAAATTCGAACGGAAAATTGATAAATTTTTCGTATTCACATCTCGGAGTGTCCATTTTTCAAACTGGGCTCATCTGGTCTCACTGTACTTTATAGCTTTATAAGCCATCTTGTTGTAAGTTCAATCTAAGAACTGAAAATTTTACGAATGTGTCGTTGGAGACAAGTTTGAGATAGGGAATTCTCTTAAGCTATATTTGTGTTTGCACGTGTTAGCAGTTCTAAATTCTATTACTTGTAATCATCTGATTTGGAAAATGCTTTCTCTAAAAAAATAGCAGGTTACTGTTCCAACCCTTGAATCAGATTCCAACCGTAAGCACAGGTCACTTATTGTGAATCCAAGCTGGTTGGTACCTGGCTGGTATCACCACCTTATCTATTTCAAGGAAATCGATCAATCCATCACGCATTCCGGCTTGAAGCCGATCAGCATAGTTTGTCGTTGCTTCCCTTGGCATTTCATTATTGAAGCTCATGAGCCTCGTAGTCCACGAGAAGGTCTGTGATCTGATCTATCTTCGATTAAAGGGTAATTAAAAGTAGAGGATTTTGCAACTGCTTACGCTGCGTTAGCAAGTGAGCACACGGATTAATTTACAGCCTCACTCATTCCCCTATTTAAATATTATGTGGTTTGACGAGATCAGTGATATATTTCCAAGAAAATACTGAGAAACAAAATATTCTCTAATCTTTTACGTATGTTATGATGCTCAACTTAGACCAAATTTTTATGTTTACTTTGTAAACAAACTTACTTTATTTCTAGTAACAACAATTATAATAATTGTATTAAATAAAATTGTCTGTTTACATTTACCGTGACACCGTCGTAATCGTCCTGTATTTACGACATATGTCAGTTTATGAGAAATCTAAAAAAGAGCCCGCGCGTTCATGCCAAACTCGGGACCTCTGTCTGCTTTAAAATACATTTAATATTCTACTACCCATTATGGACAGAGACAAAACTCATATTATACCACTGCCGTCGCCTCTTCGACACTCTGTTCCAATATCTTACGTAATAACTACAGTTCAGAAGGATTGAAAATAGCATAGTTTCCATTACAAAGTCAAAAGAGTCCATTAGAAACTCTATTACATTAGCATATTATTTAATGTTACCAATTTTCGGTAACAACTGTCTTGACGAAATAACTAAAATTAAAATATGTATATTATTATCAAAGACCACATAGTTTTGTGAACTTCCGAAATCAGCTTATATTGTTACCAGGCGTCAATGCAGAAGAATGCTGAAAGAGAATTCGGAATGAAACAAATATGGTTTCGACAGAGCTAATTGGCGCTCATGGATGATACTGTTAGTTCTTACAGACTCGAGGCTCAGAATGTGTATCGAATATCAGTGTCATCTAAGTCAAGGCTACCATACCAGTTACTTACTGTTGGTAGGACGTCTTGCGAGTCTGTACTGTTAGGTTCCACCACCCTGCCTATTTCTGCGATGAAGCAGTAATCCGTTTCGGTTTGAAGGGTAGGGCAGCCGTTGAAACCGTAAAAACTGAGACCTTAGAACTATACCTCAAGTTAGATGGCGGCATTTGCGTTGTAGATGTATATGGGCTTCGGTAACCACTTCACACTAGATGGGCCGTGAGTTCGTCCACCCATCTGTGCAATAAAAAAAACAAAAAAACAAAACAGGCCATCATTGAAGTTATCATACCTGCACTAGATTTATCAAGAACTGCTGCTTAGATATGAAAAGATCACTCCTTCTAGAAGACAGTCTTTGAACAAAGAGAATCTTGAAACGTAGTCCAATTTATGCTTTATTAACCAAGGTCAATGCTATACAGTGTAATGATGGTGAGTAATAATATTCTACACCCTGAAGTGATGAAAACGGATTCACGTGGATAGTTACTGGCAGGCTTATTATCCCACCACCAGCCAGTTGGCAAGAATAACTAATAAATTCGATGAGCAAAATAATTTCAGTTATTTTACACTTATTTTATCTTAAACAAGTGCGTCTCCTTTCACATACTGAGGGTCTCAGAGAGCGTCTCTGTAGTCCGAACTACAGACCAACCAATAATCGAAAGTATTAACTCAATAAACACGATTAGAGTCAAATCATGACAAATTTAATATGAATAATTCGTGCAGAAGACTGCGAAGCGTTCTGAGCATCGGAAATCTTCCTCTTAAGTGATCTAAGGATCTATAAATAAATAAACTGAACGAGCAACTGTAATCGCAGGTCGTTATTTAACTCATTTCGTGTCGCGAAAACATCAGAGGCATCGAATAAAGTCTGAACTTCCATAAGACTGAACTGCGAACCATATCCAGATGATAGGTCTTAGATTTCGAACAACAATAATAATAATTAATTTTTGTATTACTAAATGATAAAAAAATCGATGATAATCAATATCAAGTATTCAATTTAAATCAATAAAATAAATAAAACGTATAATATGTAACACTCTCGCATGTACTTTCTGTGTTTTGTAACGAAACGACAGCTTTGGTGACCTTACACTACGTATGTTGTGTATTGGCCGTTTTCTATTTTTACTAGTAACACCTACACTAGCCTTAATATTTTTTACCTTATAAGAGAACAGTTTATCGAAACAGCAGAGTGCAAAGTGGTTACAGACTGCCCCTTAAAACCTTGCTTAGAATTTTAACATTTAAATAATAGTTTTAATTATTAAGCAAAGAATAAAGGTCAACAGTATCAACAATAAAAGTCATTTGCAACTTACTTACTAAAGACTAAAGTTTTATCATCGGAATTACCAGTACAGTATAAATATTTAACAGCAGACTTGAGCAACCCTTAAATCGGCTAATATCTGCGTATTATGACAACAAATAAAATGTAGTAATCTTTTGTAAAGTAATTGTGAAAACACAAAATTCTATCGTAAGCCAAAGAATAAAGTGCCGACTTATTCCGGCCGTATCAACTAAACATAATAAACAGCATTAATTATGAGGATTCAAATCCCTTTAATAATTTAAAGGGCTAATCTTCAGCCCCTTGTGTAGCCGTTCGTAGAAACAACCTCAGCGAAACATCAAAATTTCACTGTATAAAGCAGTATTCAATTGTGCAAAGCAATTAATTTTTTATTTCGGCTTATGACCTCGAATCCAAGACTGAGTTTCAATAAAACTACATTCCCTGAGAGTATTTGAAGTAAAATTTTACTGTTTTCAAATGTCAATAAAGTTCCAGGCTATGTGACTTATCTGAGAGTAATTTAAGAGTTTAAATAACGTAATTTGAAAAATAATATGTCAATCAATTTATCAATTCTAAGAATCATAATCGATCTGTTTTATATGTTAATCTAAGAGATGGTATTAGTTCAAATAGTATTGTAATGACAAATGTTCTATCTTTAATATCAAGGCACATTAATTCACGGCAAAAATAGGTAAGATGACAGCATCGGTAGGCAGCGGCTTGGCTCTGCCCCTGGCATTGCTGAAGTCCATGGGCGACGGTAACCACTCACCATCAGGTGGGCCGTATGCTAGTCTGCCTACAAGGGCAATAAAAAAAAAATCTACCAGTAAGAGTTACACCCTCTCACCACGGATTACGAAAATAAAACAATATACTGTAGGTTTAATTTGACTACAGATATCGTTCGTCTTCTGGGAACTATTTATACACAAGTGTTGCCAACAAAGCCGCCGCTATTACACGCCGACTACGACATTTCCATTGATCACAGGATTGTATGCAACATCTTCAAAAACCTAAAAAAGTCACCCAGCAGCCAATTCACATATTGACTACTAATGATATAATTTATACCACAGCTCAAGAGCATAAAAGAAGGTTCAATCTTAGATTTGATACACTCGTGATTCACAAAGCGCGGAGCTTGCACGCGCTATCATTAAACCTGTGAAAATGAAATTTACGGTTAGTGTTTTATTTAAATAGCTGTGAAATTTTTCTGTGATTAATCTGTGGTTTTTCGAAGTGGAACTTCTTTGAGCTTTATGAGAGTAAATTGCAAGTTCGAATTTAAGTGAAATATTTCTGTGTAACAAATAAAACGTAACTATAATTTGAAAGTAACCGACGCGACGTAGTCTTTCTTCTTTCTCCGTTTCTCTTAAGAAGTTCAACTTCTGTACACTGGAACAAGTCTAATGCATGTAAAGACATCTTATATTAGCGTGTGTCGATTTTAGTACTATTTTTCATACTAATTTTTATTAAACTTGTATTTTAACTTTATATTATATTATACTGGTAATCATTACATCACGTTAATTGAAGAATACAGAAATTGGTATACAACACACAAGGAATAATCGTAAAAAGGACCTAAATAAACTTTTACGTGTGCGTTTGCTAGATATCATGGTTGATATAAAAAATTGTGAAAAGTTCGGTCTCAATAGTAAAACTAACAAACAATCAAACCTAAAACAGTCAGTATATATTTTAAATTATTTCTATAATTTTTATGAGTATGGCTGGGAGATCTTCGACAATCACCTCTTGATCACGGCTCTACCTACTCTACTCATCTAGTTAGGCCAATTATTACCAGTACACAATTGGACCACACCATTTATGTTCTGATCCAAAGCTTCAGTCACCACGTAATGTGAGGCGGTCCGAGAACACGTTCAATCATTCTTACTGAACCTTTTTTTTTATTGCTTAGATGGGTGGACGAGCTCACAGCCCACCTGGTGTTAAGTGGTTACTGGAGCCCATAGACATCTACAACGTAAATGCGCCACACACCTCGAGATATAAGCTCTAAGGTCTCAAATATAGTTACAACGGCTGCCCCACCCTTCAAACCGAAACGCATTACTGCTTCACGGCAGAAATAGACAGGGTGAATGAGTGATCTAAAATAAATTGATTTAAGTGACTTCTTGTTTTAAAAAGTCTCAAGTATTCTATTCGTAGCATAACGTTTGAACTTTAACAGTTCTTAAATAAAGGTTACAATTGCAGGTAGCCCTTCTCTTAGTGCTGGCCCTGTGCCATGCCGCTCCGGAACCTAAGAAGTCCAAAGCTAAAGCTTCGGAGTCCAGCAATGAGAAGCGGGCGCTGAAGGATGGAAGCTATGAAGACACCGCTTATTTCAAGAGTGGTGAGTAATTCGTTTTTCAAAAATATAAATTCAGCGCTATGTGACGAATAGTGTGTATGAAGAATTATATTTATATTAGGTACTAGCTGACCCGGCAGACTTCGTAGTGCCTCAATCGATAAATAAAAGACCTAAACTTTTGTATAAAATAAGCTTAAAACAAACAAAATGAATCCGTCCGACGGGGGACACATCAAAGGAAAACAAAATTGTTATTTTTATTTAATTCCGAGTATTTTCATATTTATCTACCTTTTAAGCCTTTTCTGGACTTCCACGAATAATTCAAGACCAAAATTAGCCAAATCGGTCAATCCGTTCTCGAGTTTTAGCGAGACTAACGAACAGCAATTCATTTTTATATATAGAGATAGATTATACATCATAATTACGTGCGTTCTTAGCCGGGATTAGAGAAAATTTCAAAATATCGTTCAGACAAGCTAATCGTCCACTTGGTATTATTACCAGGGTCCATAGACAGAGAACAAAACAGCAGTTCCTCTCTTAAAAATTAAACGCAAGCTTGCATTCAGGTAGAAACAACCTGGATGGTAAAAGTAGTATTAAATGATCGGACTGACAGTGGAAATGTCATCATTTTCTTTTGTTTCAGTCCTCCGATCTATCGACCCGGAAATTGATTTTGCCGATGATTCTGAAGGCCGCAACGTGAGTACCGTCTCCTGAATATGTCTCTCTTTAATCCAATGTCCTACCATTTTTTCGACAAGAATCCTGAGAACACTCAGAAACTAGCTTAATTTCATATTTGCTCGTAGCCCTGCGGCGTCATGCGGAGCCCTAAAGCGATAGGTTCGAAGCTTGTACTGAGTATTTTCTATCTATCATCTCATATTTGAATTTACGTAACGCTAATATCATTCGATACGTAAATTCATAAATAAATAACATAAAAATCGCATTTAATTTACGATTCCGCAACTTTCGAATACATTATGCTTAAGTTGGGAACATAATTTGATCACATTATCTTTAGTTTTAGCACGTTGTGCAATTCCAACTTCTGATCTTTATTACATAAGTATTATTTTCGAATGCCCGGAAACTAGATATCACGTGTGACTCAGATACTTTTAATACATTATTATAGAAGGTAATATATAATGCGGTATTAAAAGTTTTTTTTTTTAAATCTTAAAACATATCCTATATATTGGAGCTTTTGTTGTGTCTTTTGGTTAGGTAGACAGACAATCAGATAATCATGATAAGTATTCTTCTTCTTCGTCGCTTTCTTCATTGCTGAAGGTCGTGTCCCTGAAACTTGACCGTTGCCTGTCTCGTGAGCTCTTTCCATCTCGTCCGGTCCTCAGCTGCTCGAATAAAGAGATGAAAGAAAGAAGAAAGAGACCCCGCGGCCGATTACCTAGCCGTTGGTGTGATCAAGTAACCGCTCTAACTGGGTTGCCAGTCGCAACCCAGTTAGAGCAGCTGAGGACATGATAAGTATAATGATAATAAAAAAAAGACCTCAAAAGAATTTAAGCGAAGAATTTTTTGATAGGACGTCTAAATCCTTAAAGGTCCTATAAATAACAAATTGACTATATTCCAATCGATATGGCACCGTGGATTTTATTTCCTCCTTTCGCATAATAAATTTTTAAGGCTAACATTAGTACATCGGTTAAAGTTATTTGAACTACGATGATTATCTTTCTTATTATACAAGATACATGCACTCTAGTTCGACGAGGGAACTAGCCCATACACACAACCTACTGAGTTTCTCACAGGACCTTCTCAGTGGGTCGCGATTCCGATCCGGTAGTAGATTCAGTGAAGCACTGCTCTTGCTAGGGCTAGTGTTAGCAAACCCTCTCAGGTTAAGCCCGTGAGCGCACCTACCCATCCGGGCGTAACCGGATTAGGTAGGAAAAAACATTCTGACTTAGATTGAAATCGAGCCCAAACTTTGCTACACAATATTTAGGATCACTAGCCACTAAGCTAACGAGGCAAACAAGGCTTTTTAGTCTTACAGATGTTTTGTATCTATTCAACTTCGCCATTTCGGACTCGAAATCACAATCGAAAGCTTTCCTAAAAGCAGAGCAGAAATGCAGAGCAATTCGCTGTGTATTTTATGCCTCTATTTCTAAATAGGGAGGCTCTAGTATAATGATGTGGAGTCTTTACCCCTTAACATTGATTTAAATATGAGTTTGCCTGTGTCTAGCTTGACAAAGATAACGGCGTGCATTTTTAAAACTGCTGCTTTTCGTTCTCCTAACTACTTCCACTGGGACTATATTTAGCTTAGCTTAGCCTGGAATAATGACGGGTCCCTTAGAGTATACTGGGGACCGAGATATTTCAGCATCCAATCGACAATCATCAACAAATTTTGCTAAGAAATGTAATAAAGAAAGAACTGAACTTTTTTTTCAACTATTTTAACCTAAATGTATTTAAGACACAATCTCGTACAGATGTAATTATTATATCATTTTCAAACTGAATCAGTTCTCGACCTCAGAGTCATAAGGTCGGATATCTATTTAATTTATAATTTTTTTATTTTGTTGATGCGCCTATATTTAGTTTACAGACACTATTCTACCACTGACTACTATTAAATTCAATCGATATGAAATGTTTTAACAATATGTGGGTGATTGCAATTTATATTCTACTGTCAATACGTAAAAAGGGCGTTTAAAACTCTCATTACCCCTAATCCTACAACCATTCAACAAGTCTTTTTAGTTATCTATCTAATAACTACACTCTAAATTAAAATCTCTGGAGAAAAACAAAACAATAAACGTGAACAAAATTAGATTATAACAAAATATACTACCTAATGTTTCTGATAAGATTTACTACTAGTAAAGTTATAAACAGCGTTATTAGATAATCGAGTTAAATAGAAGCTGTGAAGTGAAAATATCCTCTTAATTTTAGACAGAGAAATACCCTTGTATGTACATAGTAATAATTGACAAACAGTACAGATTTTATTCGTAGAATAGATACAATAGAATATACTCACTGGTTGGGTTAGTTTGTTTGTATTTAGTGAGGAGCTTTTGAGGTTTTTTTTTTATTTCCAAATAAGACAATTACGAATATCTATAATATATATATATTTAAAAACTTATCATTTACATAGAAGACAAACTTATAAGTTATGAAACACGATTCACCAAAATGTGTTGTGATGTTGCGTAAACCGTACAGCATATTTATTGACAAAATTTAAATAAAGTCTTACGTAAATAAAACAGATTTGAATAATTTTTAGAATCGAATATATTATAAAAAACGTTTTGACCTAAATATTTGTTCATCAAACGTGTTTTGCCGATGGTAGGCAGACGAGAGATGACACAAAGATTTTATAGTTGGTTAATGGCGGCATGACAAAGTACCGATGGGTTTTTTTTCCTGACTACTGCTCAGAATAATAAACATAATAAAATAATTTATTGCTTTTCACATAAAATAAAATACAAAAAAAAGAAAAGAAAAAAAAAGAAAAAAAGGCGGTGGCTCAGCTAAAGCTGTTCAAGGTCCATAAATCGAACAGAGCTGATTTTCAGTCACCCCCGTTTCCCTTTGGTTCACTGCGGGAATGAAGGCTAGGTACGTGTGTGTGTACAGACTTAGAACATGGTATAAACTAGTATAAAAATAAGAAAAAAAACAAAACAAAAATCAAATTAAATTAAATGGTGAACCCGAATACAAAACATAGTAATAACAAACTGTGGGCAGCCCACAACGAAACAACAAAAAAATAAAATAAAATAAAGCACAATAATACTATTACTATTACTGGCAAGCAGCAAAACATTTACACTTGTACATTATTAAAAATAATTTTATTAAAAGAAAATTTTGACTAGCAAGCATTAAACTATACTAGAGGTCCCGCAGTAGTCGAAATTCGACTATAATTAATTGGAATTGTAACTTTGTACACTATTATGATTGTATTTTATACTTCTATAATCACAAATTTCGCCAAGACTACACTATAAAAAATATTAACAAAGACAAACAATATTTAATCTATTCTCAATTTGACAACAGGCGTCAAGAACAAAAGTTTGACAATAAATAGTATGCATGCGTGTGTGCGTCAAATACATGGTATGTAGTGTGTGTAATGTTTGCTTTATTGATTTAATGTATCTTTTATGCATTATTTTGAAAAAATATTAGCATTGTGCACTTCTTCTCTGTATTCTCTATAAGTGTGGAAAATTTCATACTCCTCCGTCCGCGCAATTTTCGTAAAAAGGGATACAAAGTTTTTACTTCACGTATTAATATATAGATATTATAAATACCATAAATTAAATTAGTTTTTGTGAGTCCAAAAGAAATGATTTAAATGATTTGATAGAATATACTGTCAACCAAATGAAACCATGAGGAAGTCCAAATCACATTGTTTAAGGTTTATCCTACGTTGCAGACTGTAACGTATGAATTCCCTACAGAAATAAAGATTTTGAAAGAAGCCTTAAGTTGACGACATCTTAATGAACTCAAGTGATCGAATAAAACTTACGAATTACTTAGATCCGCGACTACATAACTTAAATGTAACTTTACTCCCATTTAAGTTGGTGACATAGATTAACTAACTTTTAGTTTTATTAGTTAGATTTTGAAGTAGTATTTCTTCACGTGTTTGGTACAATCTAATGTTTTTACGGGGATTTAGATGTGATTGAAAAGCATTTCCGCTAAGACCTCATGCGCCTATTCTATTCAATTGAGCAGATCGGTCCCGTTCTGTTCTACCACACTATGCTCCAACAGATAGGTAGATTGGCAGCGGCCTGACTCAGCCCCTGGCTTAACTGATGTCCATGGGCGACGGTAACCACTCATCTTCAGGTGGGCGGTATGCTCGTCTGTCTACAAGAGCAATAAAAATAATAATAATAATAATTGTTGCCAAATACCATACGGCACTGTAACGAGCGCTTCTTTACGGTCTCTCTTATGATTTGGACGTATCCTTATTCCGATGTTTGCAAATTGTATAATAATTGACGTTAGATAGCGGTCTTAGATACTGCCCACGAGAGAAAGTTTCATCTAGAATTCAATAGAAAACCGTACGTGATTAATATGATGTCGAAATTTCGATTCTAGTAATTACTGTCCAAAATTCAACTCTTACTTCGGGAGCATTGTACTCCCAGCTAACTAGATTGGCGGTTGTAAAGATCGCACACTTAAACTTGCATGTTACATTCATTTATTTAACAAGCAAGTGATCTTCTTAATTGTCGATCGTTGAGGGTAAAGAACATTAAAACAAAGATTAGCTTAAGAGCAAACATAACCTAAGATATTTAGAACTTTTATTTTTAAATAATTTGTTGTATCTTTGCCGCCTAACGTTTATCGCCATATGGCAATCTCTTCTATACGTGTCGTTGAAAAAGATTTGCTTGTGAACGCTTAGCAAATTTGTAATCAACGAATATTTATAGAAGCCCCTTCTACGTCGCAAATCACATCATCCCCTAAGAAAGAGGAAGATTAAATTGCTTCCCCGTATAATACTCGTTAAAAATTAATTACGAGCCCTAATAAATTGAGGGGGTGGATTTCAAAATATCAGAATTATAAGAAACGGAATTTTTTGGTGTGAAGCTTGGAGCCGAGAGAATCAGAATGCA